TCCCCGTCCCCTTCCCCTACCCCTTCCCCTTGTCCCTTGAAACAGAGTGTCAAGGGGTATGGGTGAAAATATTCCCCTAAGAATTGGGACACCACTAATATGCCGTCACATGTCATCATACATCGTCTAGTTCCTACAATACACACACCTATACCGGTGTGCTGGTGTGCATTAGAGCTTTTAATTACCATTGCGATTTTTTGCAAACATTTCTTTGAGTAACATGACCGTAAATATGAACTCACGATTAAATGTAACAAAACAAATGATTACTTTTTCGTTAAAGTCTTTATTAATGCCAAAAATGCTTACATTTATGTGTCTTTTTGTTCTGTACGACTGATTTTAGGCCCAATCCCAATTCTATTTTATACCCCTTCCCCGTCCCCTTCCCCTACCCCTTCCCCTTGTCCCTTGAAACAGAGTGTCAAGTGGTAGGGGTGAAAATATTCCCCTAAGAATTGGGACACCACTACTATACGTCACACATCATCATATGTTGTCTAGCTCCTACAATACACACACCTATACTGGTGTGCTGGTGTGTGCATGCATTAGAGCCTTTAATTACCGTTCTATATTAACGCGCTGCTTACTGACACACAAACACACACACACATTAGATACTGTGCAGCTCACACATCCAGGAGCAAAGAAACTTGTCAACGCTGCCCCACGACTTTTATTAATAACAGTTTAACCCCTTCGTTTGAAGTGTGGTCCCGAAGATTCTTCGTTTGAAATGCTGTCTGGCCCTTCCCCTTACCCCTACCCCTCCAACCAAAAGAGAATTGAGACACCCCTACCCCTTCACATGAATGCGCAAAACGGAGGGGTAGGGGAAAGGGGAAGGGCTAAGGGGTAGAATTGGGATTGGGCCTTAAAATTATGGTCTGTTTCCCAAAAACATCGTAACTTAAGTAGCACTTGAAAATCTTTGCAGATCTACGAGTGCTCTGGAGTAATCGTAAAGCCCTAAGTGCATCGTAAGAAGAAAGATTTATGCGGTCACCTGCAGGACAATTGGCAGATTACACCTTTAACTTTATTCAAGTAAAATGTATATCAAGTGTACAATGTATAATGTATATTGTGCAATTTATAAATAATGAAATAATTAAAAAGGGCAGAAAAATTTAAATACACATCTAAATTAAATGACTGAACAAAAAAAAAGTGAATAAAAGTAGTAATGTAGGAAATATGCTTCAAAGACTGAAAAAAAAAATCTGTCAATGACTTTGATGTTCACGAAAACCAGCCATGTATTGGACCCGGAAATAACATCTCTATATAGCTATTATATACTATAATATATTTTTTATATGAAGTATATTATATATTATTATGTAAAGTATAATATTATACGTATAACTATAATATAATAATATAATATAATATTATAATTATAATATCCGAGTTGTCTGGAACGCAGCATTAGGTTAACATTTCAATTAATGAGTGTGTACTACAATTACGAGCCATTCTATAAGGTGACATTTCAGCAATTGACAAACGGATAGTGACTCCTAAGTAGCACTTAAAGCACGGCTATGTGCGATTGTGTTAAGTGCATTTTTGGGAAACACACGTGAAACAATAACGAATGATCGTAAAATGGCTCGTAGAAAATGCTCTTAAGCGCTAAGATCAATCGTTATCGAGAAACGCAGCACTGGATAGAACGTGACATCACGCAGGAGCTTCACGAGGTTGACAATTGTTTGATCACATTGACAAATGAATGGTTTATAATGCAATGACACTATCAGAGAATGATGTGAACTGACAAATGTTCTATATAGATATTAGCTTGTCAAGAAAATGCCAAGCTGATATAGAGGTATATGACAGTACAACGCCCAAGACTAACCAAGAGTTTATCAATGTTTAGATACATCTAACACGCTCTTTGTGGGTGTGTGGGTGTCTGTCACTGTCACAATTCCTGTGTCTAAAACCTAAGGCAGCTTCTTATGATCTAAAAAAATTAAAAGAGATGACCAAGCTATTATTTATATGTTCACAAGTTCATAAGTCGATAAAAAAAGAAATTTATAACTAAATTTACTCCATCAAATGTCCTTTTTATTCTTGCATGCATACATGTAGGTATAGTAGTAGACAGGATATAACCAAACTTTAATTTCACACAGTCGTCTTCCAGGGTTTCTGCAGGATTTTTGAGCTCAAATGTAAGACTTTAAGACTTTTTTAAGACCTGCACAAATAAAATTAATACCATGTAAGCGGGGTAGGGAAACATTTACTTAATATTAACATATTAAACTGTAAAAAAGCATGATTTACAGTTCAGATCCAAGTTTTCACAAAAACAAAAAGTTTTATAAAATGATACATTTCACATTTCAGCCTTTAAACTATTTTTAAGAAAACGGATGAGTCAAAAGTATTACTTATTATACTAAATTAAATCATTATCATCAATAAATTATTATGTTAATTAAATAACATAAATACATTTTACTGTTTAGATTTTTATAATGCATTATCTTTTTATCGATCCACCAGTTCACATTTATAGCTCTGCTTGTTTGTAAAGTAAAAATATGGGTTGATTTTCACATTGGTCTGAAAAAACAACAGGCTTATTGAAAATGAACATTAATTATCTGCCAGCAGGTGGCGCTTTCGGAAAGGCAGAAATATATCTGTTTCCCCGGTAACAGCAGTACACAAAGCAGCCAGAACCGGACTGTGCAGCGCTCATGTTTATGTAACGAAATCATAGCATTTTGAAGTTTAATCGTGACATTAAGCTATATCGCAATTTTGGTCTTTCCGTCCCCAAATTTAACACTACTTGAAATCATAATTAAGACTTTCTTCTACAATTTAAGACTTTGTATGGCCTTAAATTTAATACAACTAAATGTAAGACTTTTTAAGGACCCGCGGGAACCCTGTCTTCCAATGCAGGACAGTTGGATCCGATTTGAGCTTTAGATGAATTGGAATTTTAAAGGTGCATTCACATTAACAAACTTTTTGCGAAATTTTGCAGTCAAAAAAGGTCCATTATCTATTGTCAATAGAGTACTGATGCTTGAATCTCTTTCCAACTAAGCAGCTTTCTGTAGGTCAATGTGCAAAATTCCCAGTCACATTGATTTCTTTTGAAACATGGATAAACATGGACAGGGGTGTATAATTTGACATACACCATCCAGGTGCACCCTAGACACATCATCAGTGATGTTTACCTGGGGTCATCGGGTGTTTCGGGTCTTTCAACATCATACACCCTCGCCCAGGCGACCCAGCCAGGGGTGATCAGTCCCCGACTTGTGTCTAGGTAGCTTGTGTAGTCCACGGATCGCCTTTTTTGATCCACAGCCATCTTGATGCCTTCTCCGCGGCATCCGTGATGTTCCTGATGGCTTTATTCTTGTGCAGTCCCCTGATTCCCAAGAGCTTGAGGGCCCTGCACAATGACTGGCCGGCAAACCCTCAGCAGCCAACCTCAATGGGGAGGCAGCGGGTCTTCCATCCCCTGTTACGGCATTCACCTGTCAACTCCTCATACTTGGCTCTCTTCCGTTCAAATGCCTCTTCCATCCGGTCTTCCCAGGGCACAGTCAATTCCAGTAGAACCACCTGCCTTGATGATTCTGAAAATAGGACCATGTCAGGCCTAAGTGTGGTCGTGGCGATGGTTTCTGGAAATCTGAGCTGCCTTCCCAGGTCAACCTTTAGCTGCCAGTCTCAAGCTGTTGTTAGAAGTCCCGCCGCTGAGTTCCTGCTCCCTTGTGGTTTCTCTCCCGCCTTAACAAATGTGATTGTGTGCTGTACTGGCTGCTGGTGCTTGCTGAGAGAGATTCCGGTACTGATGGTTCCAGCAATTATCCTTAGCACCTGGTCGTGGCGCCACCGATAACGTCCCTCTCCCAGCGCCTTAGAGCAACAACTTAATATGTTAAAAAAAGTTCAGAAATAATTATTTCTGTTGTTTAGCACTTTAACTTTGGGCAGCCTATAATATGTCACCTCCTAAAGCAATAGTTGTCATTTGTACTGTATGCTTAGCTATTCATTCATCACAACATTGTCAGTAAATGCAGGATAAGTGTGTTTCATCAGTAGAGAAGTAATCGAACATACAGCAACTTCACTCCAGCCTGATCCCATTCTTCTTTTCTCTTGTGATACGTGACAAATGACACAGAGAAATGATAAGTGATTAAAACTAACCAAAGAAGCCTCCCACTGAACCTCAATAGCATTTATTCTTTTTATCTGTGAAAACACCCCAGACTCTATCAAACATTTAATGATAATTGAGGAATAATTTGCACAGGAATTCTGTTAATGCAACTTAAAGTGTTATTTCAGTTACACACACTGACAAATGAAAATCCAACAGAATAAATACACACTTTTCATGAGCGCCAAAAAAAAAATTCTAAATCATCGGCAGTGTATATTTCACCATGAAAAACGACTTTGCCGGTGTCATAATAATCTATAACAGTGTGTTCATCCTTCATCATTCACCTCACTAGTATGAGTGCAGATTTACACACTTCCACCACTTGTTTGTCTTCATCCTACACACAGAAGTGTTTGCGCTCATGTTGTTTTTGTCTGTCACACCAACATTTTCTATTTCAGTCGTTTGGTTTTGTTTTCATTTCAAACCTAAATAACCTTACAGGATTTTCGCTTGGCCCATCCGCAAAAGGTTTGAAGTGATAGTGAAGACAAAAAAACCCCCCGCATTACCGTAAATTCATTACAGCGGCCCGGCAGCATTTATAAACACAGCGAGATGTTGTTTAAAATATCTGACTTAACAGATTACAGATATAAACTTTTTACAGCGGGAAACGAGTGGCGAAATATGCTGTGTTTACACAGGTTGAGGAAAGGTACACACGCGTCTCCTCGAAGCCTTGAGTGGCACGTTAAAAAATGAAATAAACATTCAATAAAATAAACAAGGGCTGCTTGTGTACACTTCAGTGACAAAGGGCCTTTACCTTCTCAGGTGGGAGTGATGGGGTCGAGGAAGGTGTGCGAGAAAGACCTGGACACATAACCTGCTGTCTCCCGCCCTCAGGTGCTGTTAAAGAACCAGTCCAGGATGAGTTTCAAAGCTGTTTTGAGTCTGCAGAGAGAAGGAGGGTGGGAGAAGGAAGGTATAATGTTACAACACTAATAAGAAATGCCTGAAGGGCACTAAAGGGCCTTTTGGCCCTGGAACTAAAGGATGCATACAAAAGCACTTCGTCGGGGGGAAAAGAAGGGAGGATCATGAATCACGTTCAATTAAGGCGAGGTTATAGTTAGGATGGAAAGAGAGGGGGAGGACTGCAGGTACATGCCTAAGCTCGGCCTATGTGTTTGTGTTTGTCTGGCAAGTTTGTTGTTTTTGGTCTCTAGAGGGGAGTGCCGCAGAGCCGTTGCTTTGGGCAAAAGGACTTCCTGATCACCACTTCCGTACATAATGGCTGCCTCTATCCTAACAATGGCAGTCCATGCCAGGACCACCCGCTGAGCAGCAGCACGCGGCCACAAATCTAATGTCAGCCAATTATAGCAGCCCCTAATCAAACGCAACCAGTTGTAATCACTATAAACGCAAGTAGAAATTTCATGCTAACTGCGAATCATAGCTGGCAAAGACAGAGTGTGGTTATCTTTGACAAAAAGCCAAGTACGTCAGCTTTAGATTTTGATCACACCTTTAAGCCAAAAAAACAAAACTTAAAGGTGAAGTGTGTCACTTGTTCAATGTTAAAATAATCGTAACCCATCTTACTAAGCAGAGACCGTTATAAGTAAGGGATTCGTAGGTTAATTCATAGCAAAAACTGACACCTGGCTACCTGTTTTTCCTCTAATGGGGAATGGAAAAAGTATTTGGGAAACTTGTTTAAATACTTTTTGCGGTTCCATTTTGTGATGTTAGTCTTCATAAGGACTTTTTTATTTACTTTATATTTATGTAAAACAATAAAATAAAATACAATTTATTTAAATTAAATAGATCTGAATGATGCTAGTGCTATTTCATCTTTAAACGGAATTATTTGATCATTATTTCTACCTTATAGTCATGCATAATAAAATAAAATAAAATAAAATGGGCTCTGAGGGCTCAATATTAATATTGACTGTGTTACTGGTTCACAGCACCCATTCTAGTCATAACTTCAACAAACAGCCTGGAAAATGACCAGGACATACTGATCATAGAGTGAAAGGCTCAGTGAAAGACTGATGATATGCGGGGTTGGGAAAAAAATAGGAGGGAAAACAGACAGGTTGTACTATGAAAGCACACACAGCTTTTCACTGTTTAATGTCTTGCTGACATTTCTGCTGTGAGCAAGTAAGGTCCCCAATCCGTTGATTTTTTTTTCCCCCTTCTCCTCCTGCCAGCCCAATGGAGACACACTGGACAGATAAGAGAGAGAGTCAACCAGAATGAGGCAAGATGTGTTCTGTCTATAACTCAAGCAAGGTTAGATGACCCAGACAAAGTCAGAGGTCAGAGTTCAGCAGGGGGGCAGGGAAACATGTAGCTATAGCTGTGGCTGGATTAGATTTCACTGCAGCCTGGATTCTTTCTTTCATTCTTTGAAGGTTACAGTCGGCTGTTTGTAAAATGCCTTCGAGAGCACCTTGATGTGTACTGAGCTTCACATTTACGGTCCAAAATACCCCGCAAAAAAAAAGAAAAGAAAAAGTGATCAGCAAGTCAAAAATTATTTCAAAACGTTTTTATGAGAAGGAAAGTCTCAAGTGTTACATTGGTATATAAACCCTGCATTAAACTCTAATTTGCACATTTATAAATATTGTACTAATGATATTAGCTTTATTATTATTTCTTACAATAATAACTATGCTTTAAAAAATATATTCTTATTCTCCAATGACACAGCATAAGAAATTATTATTAATAGTATTAGTATTAGTAACATTACTATTATTAAATAAACTATTATGACAGCAGTACATTTTCTATAAATAATAATAATAACATTAATCATAACCATAACAATTGTTTATTATTTATTTAGTAATAATACATGTTATTATTAACTACTATAAAAATAGTATTTTATTGTTATTATTAGTATTATTAAACAGAAACAAATAATGACAAAACCAGGCACTAATAAAAAAAATAAACTGGCCGTCTCATAACAAGCTCAACATTGTAATACATACTGTGCAGGTGTAAAGGATTTATGACATGTATACGAGAAAATTAACTAGCAGTTCAACAGTTTTAGGAAACATCCCAAAGTAAACAGAAGACATTTAAAATCTGGCTGCTTTACTTTATTTTCACAGTATGTGTCTAGCGTGCTCGAGCTGTTTACATATCTGTCACTAGCTGTACCTGGTCTAGCCAGGGGTCCATAAACACACTTTACCTTCCCTCTTTCTCTCTCCCCTTTTCTTTCTCACATACATGTACGTGTGCACAGCCCATCTCTCCCTCCCTAGCCCTTTTCAGGACTGCAAACATTTTAAATAATGTTTAAAACAAATAGAGGTGGAATTGCTACTCTGTGTCACATCTGTGTTCTGTTACTGGTGACAGGAAAAGGGAGGGGAAAAGGCGGCTGCACTTGAAAGGTTGCCACTTTAAGGAGAAGTTTTCAAAAACACCATTGACCACGCACGCACTTAGAGCTAATACGCAATGTCAGCAATGCCATTTTCCCCATAAATAAAAACATTTTGCTTGGGTCCCTTCAGGCCTGGACCCGGACCATTCGAAACCGAGGCTATAGAAGATGTGGAAATGAATGAACAGAGCATTCAGTGTAAAACTTTTTAAATAAGGGTGATCAAACCGATCATCTGACCACAAAGAAAGAGTGGCAGGGTTGTGAATCAGCCCACAGTGTGTGTGCGCGCGCGAGTACGCGATGTGAACTCTGACACTCTGAATTATTGGCCAGATGTAGTCTGGTGTTACACACCCGGCCGGGACTATAAGGATGAGCAAGGCTTGACCTAGCTGACTCCTCTCCGCTGGACCACGAGAGAGCTTCTGGACAGCAATACTCTGAGGAGCATTATTTCAGCACACTGGAAAAATACTCTGATTGACGTGACCAAAAAGAGCTATTGTTTAGGTAATTTTTAGTCGTGTTTATTACGACTTTAGCTGACATGATGAATGATTGAGGACTGCTTTTATCTTCCAACTTCCACGCTGCATGTTGAACCAACATGTAAACATTTAGATACAAAAGTTCACTTAGAAGAACCCAGAAAATCTAAATAAAAGTCTTACATAAACTTCACAAACCCATCACCTGCATTTTTAGTCGTGTTTATTACGACTTTAGCTGACATGATGAATGATTGAGGACTGCTTTTATCTTCCAACTTCCACGCTGCATGTTGAACCAACATGTAAACATTTAGATAAAAAAAGTTCACTTAGAAGAACCCAGAAAATCTAAATAAAAGTCTTACATAAACTTCACAAACCCATCACCTGTGCACTTCTGTTCCTGCTGAGGAACTTTCAAATAGCTCCACCTAGTGGTCCATCTAGATTAAACACATTTGAACCTTAAAAATTCTTATTGAATAAGAATAGTAACTAAAATAAGGGTTTTTTTTTTCTTTCTTTCTATTTTACGCTTGGTTTTATTACCGTCTAGATCTCTAGTGTCAAATATTTTGCAAACAAAAGTCTGTTTCTTCCTGGCTCCAGGGTTCGGAAGTGCTGTCAAAACAGAAGGCAACAACAAATGTTTGTCATCGCTACAGCCCCTGGGAGCATCGCTGTTTGCTCGGAACAGGCATCTGGCTATTGTTAACAACGGCTGCTTTGCTAACCCCAAACTGTTGACATCCAGTGTATCTTTTACAATTTGGAAAGATAGCAGGGATTAGAAGAACACAATGTACCTTTCTGAATTCAAGTCTAGCGTCCAATGACGCACTTCAAGATGTTCTAGTTTGATTTTCAGATTGACGAGAAATGAATTTATATTTTTAAACGTATACGAAGGCTAAAGTGAGGCAAAAAAGGAGGTGGGCTATGACTAACACCCTCTTCCCCCTCCTTTTTTTCTCCATAACCCTTATCGTCTCGGACTAGAGGGACTTGGTAGGCTATAGCCACCTGCAAATTACAACTTAGTACTTGAAGAGTTAAGAATGTGTTTCTTTCAGGCTATTGTTGGAGTGCGCGGGTCAGGGGGTGGGGCGAACAGATTCTGGTAAGAGCCTTTAATCCACAGGCTGTCAGGCCCAAACCCTGCTTGACGCCCTATTGAAGTGTAACAGAACAAAACATCGGGCCCCTCGCTAAGCTCCTGCCCGGGCCCCATTCACAGCGACAGGAGAGCAAATTCTTCAGCTGCAAAGAGCCCCCTTCTTAAAGGGGAACACACAAACTTCAAAACAATTCAACAGACAGGAGGAACATATAAATGGCCAATCACTGTCGAGAGTGCATTTGTCAGGGACGGAAAATCTTGACATTTTTTCCCTCTGCATTTTCAAATCGCAATCCCACTCTAAAACAACGAACGACCTTTGCTACAATTAAAATATATTGAATAGACTGCAACAATGCTGACATATTGCAATGCAAATGTACCATTGCAATCAAAGCATTTCAAAGCTTAATATGTAATTTCCTAAAAAAAGGCAAATTATGCATATCTCATTTTATACCATTTGAGGTCATCTAAAATTGAAGGTCTCAATATTAAGTATCTTTGCAAATTAGCAAAAAAAAATCACTTTGCCACCTCCGCTGTCCTTGTGAAATTTACATTAATTTGCTTTTAAATGAAGGTTTTAGTATATAACTTTAGCCACATATTCAATTAAAACTGGGGAATGCAGAGTAGACATTCACTGAAAATATGTATATTTATATGTGTTTTTTTTTTTTGGCCTTTAACTCTGAAGGCTTGAAAACAGATGTGAACGCTGCACATTTCAGTACATTTGGCCTGACTCAGACTATTGGGAATCAGAAATGGAAATACCAAATGTACAACAAAATATGACAAGTTTTATTACATTGTGATTAGCAAGGATTATTTTACCCTCTTTGAAGAGAGTAATACATTTATGAAAATGGATTTAATACTTTTCAACTAATGAAAGCCCTGTGGAAATTTTCTGAAGGTTAACTATATACTGCTGCGTTCAAATTAGACTTAATTGTGCAATGAGTAAGATCTTGTCCTGTTCATTTTACTCAGGCTGAAAAGTAAATTAATTAAAAGTCCTGCCTTTGAAAACAAACAATAAAAAAAAATGAATGAATAAACAAAAATAGTATAACTAATTTATGAAAGCTGAAATAGCTGTAGTTTTAATCACATTTTATCACTTAACTTTGAACATCTAAAGAGCTATTCTAATGTATAGACAAAAATTATATCTGTGGTATTGGAGAAGAGCTCAGAAGTTGAAGTCATACATATATTAGGCAAAACTTGCATTAATCAGACTGATCCACTGACCAACCACAGCTCTAATGCTCTAGGTTAAGAGATGCATATTCATGATACATGTATTCAAATGCACAGACATGACCGACAGACTCAACCCCCTTCACAAGAAACCAAACCCCCTACCTCCTATTAGCCCTTTAACTACAAAACGGTGCTGCAGTATTAAAGGTTTGTTTAGATAAAGGAGAGCATCTGCTGAGATTAGCATTACATTATTCTTAGGGAGCAGAATAAAACGTTAAAACAGAAGACCATCAGAAATACAGTGACATTTATTTAGGTTCCATCTGCATCCACTGCTGCTGCTGTTCAAACATTGTGTTGATCATTTTGGATCAATAAGATCAGAATTTGGATCAGGTTCTTTAAATATTCCCATGGCACTTGATGAGGAAGAATAATTCAATTTACTGAATACATAATGATTGAGGTTCACAAGAAAATCTGTATAATCAAGCTGATCAATACAAAGAATCATAACATCGATATGCTTTTTTTTATCATGGTTAATACAGACATTGGAGAGGCTGAAGGGGGCACAGTGAAAGTGAGTCCCAGCAAATACTCCAGTGACTTGGTATAAAGACCACTTTTTTTATATATTTAGATATCTATATATCATTCCTGCACAAAATTACTAAAAACTATTTAGAGTCACTGTAATGCTCAGGGTTATACAGTACAAAGTAAATTCATTTTAGCACGATCAACTGTACACGAAAGTCTTATTAAAAGCGAAATACAAATTTCTACTACATAAATAGCGATTCGCATGTTTAAAATTAAGATATTGCATTTCAGGGGGGAAAAAGGGACAATGCGACACAATACAATTAAATATCTACAGATTTAACTTCAAATTATCGTTCTCATATACACAACGATTGAGTGGCATTTCACTGATTTAAATGGGGATTTGTAAGCAAAAGATGGACAGTTATTCATCTGAACAGATGTCATGTCCCTTCGGAAAATTAATTACAGCCTTCAAAAACGCAGTAAAATCAAACAGCTCATGCAAAGATACTCCAGCCTTTTCTTATTGTAATTGGGTTGTGTATTTCAAGAAGCGCACTGAATATCACGTAGAGTAGGCTAAAATATATTTTATAATCGTTCAGTCCCAATTAAATTTACAAATACCAGATACATGATCATTTTGCTGATCACCTGTACAATATCTGGAGTCTAAGAAAGTGTGGAAAATATGTAGGGGCATTCAAACTGCTAAAATACATAACAAAAATAATCTCATATTATCATAAATTCTACAAAGCCTGCAACAAAGTGAATCTGGAACGTGCTGCAAACCAAACGTCCCTGAATTCTGATCTACAACGACAAAAACGTACTAGAAGATCGATGGCTACTAAGCTTTTTTTTTCTGAATCCTTGTATTATGGCGCCTTCTTGTGGCCAGTGCCCAACTGCAACAATTCACCCCAGAAAATTCTAATCTGTCAAGTTTACTCATTCAAACCTGTAGGATTTTCTTTTTGGAACATTAAAAGAGAGGTCAGCCATTCACATTCGTCAACAAAATTATGCAAGTCACAAACGTCAACAAACATGAGCAAGTGAATGGTCACTGAGGCTTTCATTCCATAATATTTAGCACAATATATCATTTTGTGCTCCACTGAAGAATCAGTTCAATCAAAATACTGTTTATAATATTAACATCATAAACTCAAATTATTCATCTGTCCTTCAGGTTGGACAAAGCATTAAAGCAATCTTGGTGAAGACAAAACTGCATGTTATGAATAACCGGCAGATGGCGCCATTTACCGTGTATACTATGTACAGGCACTGCTAAAATTACTCTCCAGACAAAGCCCGTGTTTACATTTGTGTATAAAAATACACTCATATTACAATAAACAGCACAAAAACGTCTACCGACCTGATTAAATCCACATCATGTCACAGGACAGCATGACCATAATCTCCAGTGTACGACAAAAATACCATATCTCACATTTAGGCCTACTAATATTTACGGTAGCTTCTAAATGTAATGAAGTGTAATATTTGCATCCCTTGCCATCTTTAGGACAACTTTTTCCATTTTACTAATCTACCAATAACAAACGTTTTGTGTTGGAATTGCCTATAACAAAAACATATGCCTATTTAAGTTGTCAGTTTGTTGCTGGTTTTTTTATTTGTTTTGTTCCCCCCTAAATTAGTTCAAACTGATCTGAGTGCTTGATGATGGCTCTGTTTGAATCAAAAACATGTTGTTTACGCCCAATATAAGTTCACATTAAGTAACTGCGTTACTTTTTCCAAATTGTCCAGCTCACCCAAAGAAGCAAACGCAAATCGTGATAGCCCTTCGTTTGGACGTTGCGTTCAAAATGGCGCTCTAAAATCCATCCTGACGTAAAGGACAGTTGTAAGCAGTGTTGTGGGTAACTCACTACAAGTAACGCGAGTTACGTAATCAGATTACTTTTTTCAAGTAACTAGTAAAGTAACGCATTGAGCAAATCGTGATAGCCCTTCGTTTGGACGTTGCGTTCAAAATGGCGCTCTAAAATCCATCCTGACGTAAAGGACAGTTGTAAGCAGTGTTGGGGGGTAACTCACTACAAGTAACGCGAGTTACGTAATCAGATTACTTTTTTCAAGTAACTAGACTTTTTTGAAACTTTCTTGAAACACAAGGCATACATGGTCAACGAAAGTCCCGGTGTTGTTGTATTTCAGAATACATTTTAGGCTATATTTTATTTTCCAATTGTACTTAACATAGCTGAACTATTGAGGTTGATATGGCCATTATATAGTAGGTGCAAATTCCTTATATAGGTGTAAACTGTATTATTTTTAATAATGCAGTAGTCACACCATAACAGGGTTTAACTAAATTAAACTCTGCTTTTTAAAAAAAATATGCATTTGAGTATTTAATTGACTTTTTGTTTTGATCAGTGTTGGGGAGTAACTAGTTACATGTAGGCCTAACGGAATTACGTCATTTAATTAATACAAAATAAATGTAACTGTAATCTGTTACAGTTACTTAAAAAAAGTGTAATTAAATTACAGTAACTTCTGAAAATATTAACGATTACAAAGGAGGTTGCATCTGAATGTTTTCACACACATACAGATGTGAATGATTTCTTTCATAAATTGCATTGACTGCTTTAAAATATGATAAACCAGTGTTTCAGGAGTTTAGGACACATGCTTATTCAATAACTGTTTTATTTCTTATTTGGGTTTGTGCTTTATTTTTTATATTAACTGTTTTTTTATTCCAAGGCATTGTTAGGTGCCAATGTTTCCTGTCATAACTATGCAAATATTTAATTTCAAAAACAGTATCAAAGCTATTAAACTATATCTTGTTATTAATTATTTTAAAACTGCATTTAATCTCAGAACGGTCTCAAAATAAAAAGAGGTGCTAAAGTCTGATTTTGTGGTTGCTGTGCTTTAAAATTAAATGATTATAATCTTAATTCAAGTGGAGAAGGATTTTGAAAGTTTGACAGTAATCAGTGTTGGGCACTATACTGTAAGGTTAACCCTGCCTGTTTAAATGTTTCAAAATGATTAACAATTGAAAACGTTCATTTGAAATTTAGAAAAGTAGCCAAATAAAAAAAGTAGCCTAATCGGATGTAATTAGTTACATTACTTTAATAAAGTAATTGAAACAGTTACACTACTTATTACATTTTAAATATGGGTAACTTGTAATCTGTAACCTATTACATTTCCAAAGTAACCTTCCCAACACTGCTTTTGAGTAACCCATTTAACACATGAATAGTCACACCTTTATCTGCCAGTGAGCTCTACTACGCACTGTTCTCTGCTCTATACACGTATTTAATCAGTTTTGACCTTTCACAGACATTCCTGATGTGGACAACACTCCATTCAAAATCAGCCATTTCTCACAACCATTGACAGACCTTTTCAGGCCCCCTATTCTTAAGGTGACTCGAGACTCGAGACATTCTTGAAGATTGACAGGCCTTGTCAGTGAGTGACAATAGTAGACCCGGTCAGTGGCGCCCAAACCAACCCCCATAATTTCACACACCCTGTATAAAATGATTTAGTAGGTATTCTGATTGTAGCCTAAATGTTGAGGTGACACTGCATGCTAAATTAGCCATGGTTGCTGAATCTCTATTTGCATGTTTAAACAAATATACCTGGGATAAAGGCCAGTGTTTACTTTTCTTCATAAGTTCGATCAGGTATGCCTTGAGCTGTCTGCTTTGGCAGTCCTCATTGTGATTGTGCAGTTGTAGATCCCATCTTTATCATTTTGTAAAAACAAATAAAAATAAATAAAGTTTTTGTTCATATACAGTGGTGTGAAAAAGTGTTGGCCCCCTTCCTGTTTTTTTAATTGTTTTGCATATTTGTCACACTTAAAAGATTTAGATCATCAAACAAATTTTAATATTACACAAAGATAATGCAAGTAAATACAAAATGCAGTTTTTAAATGATTATTTATTTTATTAAGGGAAAAAAGCTGTCCAAACCTGCCTGGCCCTATGTGAAAAAGTAATTGCCCCCTAAATCTAATAACTGGTTGTGCCACGCTTTGCAGCAACAACTGCAATCAAGTGTTTGCGATAACTGGCGATGAGTCTTTCACATCGCTGTGGAGGAATTTTGGCCCACGCTTCTTTGCAGAATTGTTTTAATTTAGCCACACTGGAGGGTTTTCAAGCATGAATGGACTGTTTAAGCATCTCAATCTGATTTAAGTCCGGACTTTGATTTGGCCACTCCAAAACCTTAATTTAGTTTTTCTTGAGCCATTCAGAGGTGGACTTGCTGGTGTGTTTGGGATCATTGTCCTGCTACATAACCCAAGTGCGCTTGAGCTTGAGGTCACAAACTGATGGCCGGACATTCTCCTTCAGGATTTTCTGATAGAGTGCAGAATTCATGGTTCCGTCAATTATGGCAAGT